CAAAGAGGAAGGCTCATCAGAACACTTCCTATAAAAATATTAAAGAAGCCACATTATGGTGGTGAGACAGTGACTGACACTGAGATGATAACATTGCAGATTTTTCTTTGGATTTTGTCAAGAATTTCTAAATACATAGCAGAAGAACCAGACCATATGTGGAGTAATGGTAGACTTTTTTCCTAACACACAAATACCCTTGGGAAAGGTATGAATGTCCCTAGCTATGGGTTAGTAAGATTTATATCACTAAACCATTATTATTTTTAAAAAAAAAATTCTTACACTCTCAAAATATTTTCTGGCTTTAAATAACCTACAAAGTTTTTTTTTAGCAATTTGCTAGTCCTGTTTCTACTAAGTTTGAGTCAGTACTACCTATCACAAAGATTGAACTCAGTTACATATTAACAAACCAATGGTGTAATCCTCTTGGCTATCAGGAATTAAAGAGTTAGTAACTGAGCAGTACTGAGGACCAAAAAAACACAACATTCAAAACATTGAAATAATAACAACAAAGATGAGTTAGACTGTAAATAATATAAATATTAATAATTTCTGTCATCTTAAGTTGGATGAAAGTAAATGTTAAAGAAGAAAACACTTTCTTTTTAAAATACAAGCAATATAAAAAAAATTTTAATATTCATCTATGGTGCTTCTTTATAAATTGATGGAATTTGTGGGCTTTTGAATTGGTTGAAAATCTGTTTAAAATAAGGTGAGGTAAAATTGTTTTACTCTTTAATTCTGTCTGTTTACAATATTAAACATCAAAGGAGGTAAAAAAAAATCCATTTGATTTAAGCATTTATATCACTTAGTTTTTGTTGCTGTCTCCTTACCAAATTGCATATCCTGAAAACCTTCCGGGCTCTAAACTTAATTCTATCTATTTCAAGCTTTGGTTGCTATTATTCTATGAGTCATCGGCAGATCAAGTCCAACAATTATTTTTGGCGGTTAGATAACATTTTGAAATTGATGCAGATCCCATGAGTCATAGCAACAGTTGCTAACCTGCTGCATGCGTTGACCACTGACAGACTTGTGCATTTCTAATCAATAAAACATTGAAAATGCATGAAGCATTCAGTCTGATAGAACTGTGAGTGGTTGCCATCTTTAAGCTATGGAAGCATCTCCTTGATATATATAAGCTTTGAAAATTAATTTGTTCACAGAGAAAAGGGGGAAAAAAATTTGCCCCTTAAAATATTATGATTATGAGTCATATTTATCTCCCTTTGACATAACTTGCAGTAAGTATGTATTGCACTATAATACATTTTCAATGAATAATCACTAGTTGGAAAAGTATTTCTGTGACTGTGATAGGATCCTAGTCACATGTGTTGAAGCGGAGGAATGTAACCATTCCATGGTTGAGGCAGCTGTTCAATTATTTTCTACTGCTGCTTATTGCCTGTTAAGTACATTCAAAGGTGAGGGACTTTATGAACATTTCTATTGACTATATATTTTATCTATGTGTATTTTCAATTTTTTTAATTGTAATTTTCTGAGGCTATCTGTTTACTTCATTATTCTATCTTTATCTGTGTGTGTGTACATTCTATACGTGTATAGATGTGTACATATTTTTGCATGTATATATTTAGGTGTTTGTAAACATGCATATAGTTATGTGTATATGTCTCTCTCACTCACAATATATATATAATGTGTGTGTGCATATATGTAAATAGTCAGGCTTATATTTTCTTAATATAATGCTCACTATTTGAATGAATCTGTATACATATATGCATGTTGGCTGAAAGATATTTTGTATCTCTCTCTCTCTCTCTCTCTCTCTCTATATATATATATATATATATATATATATATATATATATATATATATATATATATATATATGACTGTTATTATATATGTATAAATACATTTTTCCTGGTAGGTTTATAAATTGAAAGAGAAAAAAAATGAATGTGCATGTTTATTGATCTGTTTTCCTTCTTAATGTCATAGACAAATTTTGTTAAATTTTACAGTGATAAATTCACACCTTTGACAATTTTATTTGTAAGAACTTCTGTCCCTCATCAAGCCTACTTCTATTATATAAAGCATGTAATCTTGTCACTTAGACCATTCCATGCAATGATATCGGAAGAAGCAGGAAACAGCCTTGAATACTCCTATTCAATATGTGATCTGTTTATCAATGTTTGCACTGAACACATACAGTCAGTGGATTGATGCTCTCTTAGTGTAATCAAAGTAGGTCAGCTTATTCGATCTTTATTGAAAAATATGTACCTCTGATTCTGAAATCTGTGTTTGTCAACTTAATATACTCAAGTTAGATTCTATAAAATAAAAGAAGAAATATAAAAATAACAAAAATAAAATGAATTTTGAAATGTTCTAAAATGATTCTGAATAAGAAATATAAGATTATAATGAAAAAAAAAAAAAGTGGATTTTAATTTAAAAAGGTTGCATAATTTTTATAAACATACCTTATTTAAAACTTGACAGCTTTAGTAGTCTTATTGAATTCATTGTAAATCTGTATTTAAAAAAAGCCAAAATTTTTAATGATATTTTCTCTGATTTCCTATTTTTACAATGAGATTATTTTGGTTTAACATCTAATGCTCATTTCTCTGAAATCTGCATTAATAATGAAATGAGTGCCAATTGTAAGTAGTGTTCATTACAATTATAACATGACACTATTTTTCTGCAAAGATTAATAGGATATTTATTATACATGTTTTGTTTTTAAATCTTGAACAATTAGAAATCAGTTTAGGATTAAAAATGAATTTCATTTTAGCTATTGCAATAAATAAATATTCACTTTATTTTCGACTCTGATTGTATTGATTTTGACTGAAAAGAGAAGAAATACAATGTAGTGAAAGAGTATTTAAAAAAAAACTTTCTCTCTCCCTCCCTCTCTCCATATATATATATATATATATATATATATATATACACACACACACACACACACACACACACACACACACAGTATTTTTTAGCTAGATAGAACCAAATAGTGAAAGTGGTGATTTTTGTTTTTAAGGTTAATTTATAATTTGGGGGGGGATTGTTATTTATAAAATCTCTTTATTTAAATATTTAAAAAAGAAAACAAAAATTGTGAGTTGCATCCTTTGTGTGTGCATATATATATATATATATATATATATATATATATATATATATATATATATATATATATTTTATGTACAATACTTAGTGGAAAGGGCTCAATATCTGTGCTAGAGCTAACATATTCACTTGTATAGATATCAGTTTGTAACCCTTTTACGATCATCAGTGTTAAACCCAGGTTTACAAACTAATATCCATACAACTGAAAATATATATATATATATATATATATATATATATAATTTTCTCTCTCAGTAATCTTGATTTTACATGTTTCCATTTTCCTAAACAGTGGCTGACTCTAAATAATTAATTACCCCCTCCCATATACACACACATGTGTGCACACACTCAAATCAGTGTATTGTAATTGATAATTGACATGCTTGAAACAATTGACACCATTTGAAGTCTGAATGATTGCATCTCTTGGTGTGGTGGCTTTCTGAACTTGTAAATCAATATTTTTCCTATTTTATAGACATCTTGTGAAATTTTGTCTTTTATGTTTATTCTTTTAATACTAAAAGAAATAAGAAATAATTTATATTGATAAAGGTTTTTGATAAGAATTATTTTTAATATGAAATTTAAAAGAAAATCAGGGATAAATGTGGCATATAATAAAAATAAATTTAATGAAAAAATTAGACTAAAATAATGTTATTTTTTTTAACAGGAATTTAATCATTTTTTTAAATTTTTTTTTTGTTTTTTTTGTAAATCATTTCACCCCAAGTAAAGTGATAATGCCCTTAATTGTCTTGTTTGTTGAATAGGGCTACTTTTTTGTATTGGAAGGAGATATATTTTTATATGATAGGTTGTTGTGGAGATATTGTGGTTGCATGAGGGTGTTTTTTTTTTTTTTGTTTTGTTTTTTTTTAAGCAGATAGTGTTGTATGTGATGTGATAGGTGATATCAGTATGATATCCTATGGTTGAAAAGAGGGAGGGTTTGTGCTCTTTTCTTTTATATTGCATAAGCAATATCACCTCGCAGGCATTAAAAGAGGTCCCCTGGTAGAGAAGGTGAAGTCGTCCCACAAAACTATTTGAAATTGCATTATCTTTTAGAGCCTGTTTGACTGGGACAACACTTTGCCTATTAAACTATGAAAGCTAAGTAGCAAATGCAAAAATCACGTTTAATCCTATGGTTACCTTCTTAAATATCTAATTTTTACTTGTTTGTTAAAGAGGGAGATACTTATCTATGTGATAGGTTGTTGTGGAGATAATTTTGTTGAGCAGGAGTTGTTTTTTTTTGTTTTTTTTTTAAAGTGGTTCACTTAGAGCTAAGAAGTCACTCTAAGGAGAACCGAGACCTCATTATGGCACCCTGTGGTTGAAAAGAGGAAGGGAGTGTGCTCTTTCCTTTTGTATTGCTTTATACAACATCACTTTATGGGCATTATCTTTGATAACATTGAAAGAAGGTTTGCTTAGATTGTTTGTACAATCTACAACCTTTTAGTGAACATAGATAAGAAATAAAGAACAAACTGTAATGGCCATCTCTTAAAAATTTATATATTCTTAAAATAAATGAATTTAACACATACATGGATTTTTACATACATTTATATGGGAAAATAAGTGTAGCATATTGATTGATTCATTTTCTACATCTTATCAATCCTTTGTGGGTTATTTAAAGCCAGAAAATATTTTTAGATGTTTTTTTTTTTTTGACATAATGATTTAATGATACAAGTCTTATTAATTAATCCATAGCTGGGGGGAAGAAATATTTGTGCGTAAGTGAAGATAATGAATCCAACTAAAATTGGAACTCTGCTCTCCGATTCTCAGCCATTATCCATTACACCACTCACACATCCAAGCTTACAGCACCTGGTATTCCCAAGCGGTCACCTATCTAGGTACTGATAAGGTTCAATGTTGCTTAATTTCAGTGATTGTACAGGAACCAGTATTTCAACATGACGAAAACCTAAATAAGTGTATCATAGCTCAGAAAAGAAGAGAAAAGTTACTCTTCAACAAACTATTAATCTTCTACAGTGAATGAGAAGGTGTCTGACTGTTTCTCTTGGACTGGGATATATTCTTGTGTTGTAAAAAGATTATATATTATGTGATAATTTGTAGTGGAGATGCCATTGTATGAGGCTTTTTCAAACAGGAAATAGCATAGTGATAGTATTATGCTGTATGCAATGTGACCTGTAGTCCAGGGGTGGAGAAGTTTGATGGTGAAAAGAGATATATTTTGTCACTTTGGCTTCCTGTGGGTAAAGAGAGAATGAGAAATTGTGGCCTTTCCTTTTATACTACTTTATGCAATAATATCTAGTCATCATTAAGCTGAATGTAACTCATTATATCCCACATAGAATTTATGAAGCAACTACATAAAAAGATTAATTCACCATAAGGATTATATATATATATATATATATATATATATATATATATATATATAATGACATACCAAATACTAATAGCATAGGTAAGAAATAAGCAGATGCCAAAATTCCCATCTTTCTTTCTTTTTTTTATGACCAAATATAATCAATATAAAGTCAGTCATTTACTGTTTATCTGTGTTTTGCTAGAAAACTTGGTTAAAAAATATTAACTTTGCATTGATGTTTAGAAGGTATCAATGTATTTTTTAATCCTTTCACAGATGAATTTGTAATAGTCATCTCTTAAGTTTTAGTGAAAGAAAATCTTGAATGAATAATTGAAAATCATGATAGTAATATTAGCAACATTAAATGGTATTTGATGATTTAAGCATTGAATTTTGCTATTTTATTACGTATACGTTTTTTTACTAAATTTTGGCACCGTGTGTGTGTGTATATATATATATATATATATATATATATATATATATATATATATATATATATATATATATATATATATATATATATATATATATATATATATATATATATATATATATATATATATATATATATATATATATATATATATATATATATATATATATATATATATATATATATATATATATATATATATATATATATATATATATATATATATATATATATATATATATATATATATATATATATATATATATATATGTATATATATATATATGTATATATATATATATATATATATATATATATATGTATATATATATATATATATATATATATATATATATATATATATATATATATATATATATATATATATATATATATATATATATATATATATATATATATATATATGTATATATATATATATATATATATATATATATATATATATATATATATATATATATATATATGTATATATATATATATATATATATATATATATATATATATATATATATATATATATATATATATATATATATATATATATATATATATATATATATATATATATATATATATATATATATATAGGCATCTACCAGAGGAGGACTGATATTGAAAATATATTTAAAACAATGCTCCAAGACAGACACATAGGAGCTGATGATAGCGGCATACAGAACAGCTTGAAATACTGCTTGATCCTCATACATCGAATATGGCGGGGGAGTCCACCTTACATATATATATATATATATATTTTCATTGAAAACCAGAGAAAGGGATTGTCAGTGGTCAGAAATTAATGTTTTTGACAGAATTAGGATTATGAAATTAAATGTTTACTATTTCTGATGGAAATTTTAATTACACTATGGCTTAACTGAAGGTGATTTCAACTACTTTCACTTTATTTTCAGTTTTTTGTCAGTTTTTTGTACACAATGAAATGAGACTATGATCTATATTTTTTTTTTTCAAAATAATTACAAACCCAATCTACAGTGGAACCTTGGTTCACAAATTTAATTTGTTCATGAAGGTTGTTTGTGGCCCCAAATGAATCAAAATGATTTTCCCCATAAGAATCAATGTAAAATGGATTAATCTGTTCCTGGACATCAGATGATTGCTTAACTTATTACAACAATACTTTGTGTACAAGTTCATGCACAAAACCAATGAAAATCAATAAATCTAACATACAAAAAATGATAAAAACAATACTAAACAGATAAAATATAGATGAAAACTAATTTTACTGTACCTGTATGGAGGAGAGTTGATGGTGTAAGTGGAAGGTTGTGAGGAAGGGGAGAGATGTTATTGTTTGGAAGGAAAGTCGCCTTCCTTAAAAACATTAGGTAACTGTCTTTATGGGGTTTCTTCTCTATCTTTTTTTCTGTCTCTTAACACCTACCAACTCTGCTTGAGACTCATTGGGCCTCTCTCTCACTAAAAATTTGTCCAATGGGATGTTTTGTTTTAAAATGTTTGTGCTGCAGCTTGCTACTGCTTTATCAGTGTGATGATGTTCCACAAAATTTGGTATTTCACATTTTGCACAACTTTCACAAATCAAAGAACTAGCAACATCCTACCTCATTCTCTGAAGACATTACTTTCAAAATCGTCCATGTTGTTGCTAGCTTGCATGTTCGTTGCTGGTGACATTGTTCATTACCCAAGGTGTTTTTTGTTTGGAAAATTTATTTGTAATCTGAGGTTCCACTGTATTCTGTTTTTATTTTAAGTTAAATCATCAATTTTTACATATATTTGTCCATCTTACTCTGACTATTTTTATGTGTGTATGCATGTATATATATATATATATATATATATATATATATCCACTTTACAGTTCAAAGACTCTGACCAAGCTCCACAGTCTGTCTACATGAAGCTAGAACCAGGAGTAAGCCCAGCTACGTCAACAGGAGGCCCTGCCTTGCATCCTTCCAACAAAGGTATGAAATGTTATTTTTCTGGTTTTTAAGAAAATTACTTATTTCTTGAAAAATTATTTATAGTGTTCGAAGATGCAATTTTACCTTTTGCAAATGATGTGATATTTTTAAAATTTGATCATATTCCTCTATATAACATATAATGTTTTTATATAATATGTGTGTACTTATTTTGATTAATTGTAACAGTATGACAAAACAAGCAGTGTTTTAAGAATTAACAGTGAAAAATTAAAAAATATCTTGTGAAATGTTCACTTGACACATGCAGAAAAACTGTCCTATCTGCATTCCTGTCTTGACAGCGTTAAAGAATTTCTGCATGATCAACATTTTTCCCTGATACCTATCCCCCTCTCACACTTCTCTTCTTGGGGAAAAAATGGCGTTAATTTATTGTTTTATTCAGTAAACAAGTTTTCCTATCCACTCTCAGTGATTGATGAATAACACTTTTACATACATACATTCATATTAATGCTCTGTAAATTTACATTGAACACTATTTTGTAAAAATAAAAATATCAATAAGAACACTGGATTATATACTGTTCTTTCTTTTTTATTTATATATACATACATACATAATTTTATAATATATATATATATATATATATATATATATATATATATATATATATATATATATATATAAATATAAATTTATTTAAAAATATGGTTCCATCACTACACTGGAATTACCATATTTCAAAAACAGAAGCTAAAATCTTTAAATTCAATTATAGAATTAAATTAAAATCCCTAGTTCTGTTTCATTTTTAAGTGAATTTTGGAATAACTTATTTTGAAATTTACGGAATTTTATAAGCACATACATTTATAATATTAGTTTCTATGGATATGGGGAAATCTAATCATTTTAACAAGGAGTGGTTGGGTATTCTTTTTCACTGACATCTATTGTATCAAAATATTAGTTACTTTTGAAAAGAGGTTAAGTCAAGGTAGGTTAGAGGTGCCTTTTCAAACAAATGATGACTAATTAAATTCTACAAGTGAATTTGAGTTTTTAGCTTCTGTTTTTGAAACATGGTAATTCCTGTGTAGCAATGGAACCATATTTTTAAATAAGTAAATTTATAATATATAAAGTTTATAATTATCATTAGTACATCAGCAGTTGATCTGGAGAAACAAAAGCTGTATTGTTTGTCTGAGAAAAAGCCCTGTGATGAGAAATGATGAACCAATTCAGTATTGATTAAGGCCACTAGAAATTTCTCAAAAAGAGGCAGAAGGCTAATAGGCTGATAGTTGGATGGGTCAGACAGTTTATCAGAGTTCTTAAAAACTGGAACAACAGCAGGCAGGAAAGCAGGAGGTAGTGAGGCATTCATTATACAGTTTAGAGAGAACAGGTGTTAATTTAGGAGAACACTTCTTAATGACTATTACAGCGATGCCATCAGGTCCATATGCTTTGTATGGATCAAAGTTAGAGATGATAGCAGAAACCATGGAATGGCTTATATGTATATCACTCAACAGAGAATCACTTCTAAGTGGGAAGTTAGGCAGGAATACTCCAGATAGAGTAGAGTTTGAGGAGAATTTACAGGCAAAGCATTTAGCTTTATCAGCTGAGGTTGATAACACCTCAAATTGATTGAAGTGGGAGGAAATAGAGACCTTGCACTTATCAAGTACCTTATTATAGAAATGCCAGTAGTCACAAGAGCCAAAGTTTTTAGAGGCTATGCAGTGCCTTATTCTCTCTGCAAACAGGGACTTAGCTTTTTCAAAAACTTGCTTACATTTATTACGAGTAGTAGCAAATAGGCACCTGTTATGATGAGAGCTGTCATGCTGGTATATCTTGAAATAGTGGTTCCTGTGTGCTGAGACAGCCGAGCATGCTAGTGTGAACCAAGGAGAGGACTGCAGTTTCACCTAGTAAGACAAGAGCAGGGAGAGGAGGTAAGAAATAGTCAATAGAGTAGCATGTTGCTCAGTTTAGCTAGGGAAATGAGTAGAGAAATCCACAATTTGAGTGAAGGATTGGGCAATGGAAAAAATTAATGTCTGTATTCTGGAAACATCAGAACCTTGAAATTTTTTTCAGTCACTTGTTGCACTGAGCATTGAAGTCACTGAAGATGTTTGCAGATGGATGG